TTAACTAGCAAATAATTGCATGAATAATTCCCATTCTATAAAGTTGCATTGATGATAAGTGTAAAGTCTAGAAAATTTAGGGTGCTTCTCTGGCTAAAGCTGAGTGGTTCTATGTCGGGGTGACTCTGGTGGCTTGGAACTAAAAAACAAGCTGACAATCTTTGCTTTGCAGAGAACAATTACAGGGTGCCACATTCCAGTAAAACTACTTTGGCCCTAATAAATTGCTAAAGATGGACTTGTTAAATAAACCAGAGAAACGTATGGAATTAGAATGAGGAATACGTTCCTTCATTCCAGAGGACTACGGGCCCCCGTGGCCTGTGCTCAGAGACATCCAGTGAAGAAATGAGATGCAAAGATTTTTCATTCTCTCTCAGGTGCAACAAGCCAGCAAATACTTTTGTGCCACAGTGCTGGCAGCAGCTAATAGTTTTGCTTAACTACAGTATCTTTGCCTCAAAGATTACCCTAGCAAAAACCTCTGAGATTTAAAAAGTAGATTGCTGCTGTTGAGCCTTTGAGCAATTTGTGAACTAGAGCTACACAAAAATGTTATTGGCTAGAATTAAAACTCAAAGTAGCAACTACCTTTGAACATTTCTGAATACTCCAAAAAATATGAAAGACTACTCATACAGAACTTATTTTACTGACCAAAGTTACAGATGTAAATTGGAATCCAAATGCAATCTCAATTATGGAGACAATAGACAACCCAGTAGCATCATGGGAGTTTCTGGAAAACCTGAAAGGAAACTGTATCTTCTCTGGCTCCAAATAAATGTAATGATAAACTTTTATTTCTCCTTTTAGATGGGGCAGCACGAATTTCTGTTTAAAACTTCTTCTTAGCATCTCATTTCATATTCTTAAGTCATTCTCGTATGATTTTTCATCTGCGCTTTAAATATAATTTCTCACTGAGAAGCCTCAATCTCTTATGGCAGTGTGATATAGTGCTAACATGCTCTGTGAATTAAGGTGTTATGAAATTCATCTGGCTAACTACAGTGTAAGATGTCTATGCCTGAACAATGCTATTAATGACTTCAGTCTAACATGGCAGTTTTCTGTTTAGAAACGGTCTTTCTACTTGAAAACAAGTCTTCTTGTAACAGACGTACAGATTTCAGAGAAAGAAGATCCGTTGTACGCATCTCTGGGAAAATGTCCTGCGCGTGTTATCTCAAAAGTCAATTGACTTGCCTCATACTTTTCCCTTTCCCATTTTAAAGTCAGCATTGACGGGAAAGTGCTATCACTCTCCTAGCCCATAACTTCATGTAAGGTGAGGATGCCAAACCTATAATCTGCAGCTCACCACGATACTTCACCCAGCCCATCATCTGCTTCAGAGAGTGAAAACAACAACTTTCCAAACTAAGTTTATAGCTTGTAAATTAATACTTAATGGTTGGTTGCCACAAGAAAAATCCAGGCTACAAAATTACTCTGGTGGTACTCGACTGCCAACCACCATCCTGCCTCTCCTCCTTCCCCTCCAATGTGAGGGGTGTAGATGTACTCCCATGCCACAGAAAGGGCTGCAATATGCAGATCTCTCCCACTGCTAGCTGAAAACAGGCAGCCCATGTTACTGTAATGGTTGGACCCTGGCTGGTGTAAGGATTACAAAGAAAAGTGATAAAGCTCACAAAGTTTTCATTACTTTCACACAGTTGGGTTTAGGGCAAGTCATCACATCCATCTCTGCTGCAGGCACCGAAATGCAGCATTATTAATGCCTCACAAAATTAAAAAATACAGGTAGTCTCCTCTAACCTCACCAAGGAGTATAAACATCCATCAAACTATATTGTAATATGTTCTATATTCTATATGCTATATATCATAATAATTATATTATATTATAACTATATATTGCTTCATTGCTGGAGGAGGTGTTTTGGGAAAGAGAAAAATATATGGAAGACTGCTACCCCTACAACTTAAAATATAACTCTTAACTGGTTATAAGAGATTTTCTCATAAATTCTGTTTTTCTATTTGCTTCAGCAACTATCTTGATATTTTCAAACTCTTACTATTTCAAAGTCTCTTTGAAACTACACAGTAGTACGCTGCATATACCCAACTAGAAACATTTCTAGCAGAAAAAAAATAAGCTAACAACGTCTCTTCCAAGAGGCAGAATTGGCAAGTTTATTTCCTAGGACCCATACTGAGCTGATACTTCAGTATGTGTTTAAGCAAGCACAAGTGTAACTCCAGAGAGTTTAATGGGACTAGCCCCATATCCTACATTATATACACACTTGAGTACCCTGCACAGAACCCGTTGATGGTTTTTCACCTTAGTTTGTCTAAGCTCCAGGACCAATAAAATGTGCAAATTTCCCAACTGACTTGAAAATTTCAGATGAAGGAAGAGAACTTAGAGAGACATAGCACTTTTGAAATGCCTTATGCTTAGAAGAGCATAAAAAGTCAGTTATACACTACAGGACTGTGGAAATTTTAGCTGAAAAAATAGTTCAGGATTATTTTCTTCATCTAGTATAATCTTCTTAAATTAATTTCCAATTTCATGCTATCACAATATATTTTATGGTTCTTTCCAGCTCTGGTCATGTGAAATGCTACTTTATAGGACATAACAATCTGCTAGGAGAAGAGAATATATTAAAGCAAGTAATGGTACAGTTGTATCTCCAGGAGTAAGATATTCTATTGAAAGTTTATACCAGTAGGACCCTTTAAAAAGGACCAAATTTCTACATAATTTCCAGATTGTTGCCTCACTCTCAAAAGGCTAAACTACTAAAGTAGTTTCAGGCATCAGTACTGATAAATCACCTTATCCCGTGCCAGTTCCTAATGTTTTACCCTATTGTCATCCACTCCGAGGTGGCATTAAAAATAGTTTGTCTTGTGAGTAACAGGGTAACATTTTTGTAATTCTTAAATTTCTGTTCATGGCTCATATACTCCCTTCTGTATCACTCACAACTTTGACTTCACTGCCCTTGAACAGAAGTAAACAAAGATCTAAATTAGCACCATTTTCCTGGCCCAGCAATCAATAGATCAGGATGAGTGATTTTCAACCTTTGGGCCACGGTCTACTTGTAATGGAACTGCAAAAAGCAAAGCAACTCTTCCCTTAACATTTTCCACACCATCACTAGAAAACTTTGCAGGGTGCACAAATTGGAAAAAGCTGAAAACCACTGCGGGCTAGATAAAAATCGAACAAAATCATAATGTATTAGAGAGAGAATGTACCGGATCCCTCCTTCCTGTTCTTCTCGCTGACACTGCTGCATCACCGTCCTACACACTTCTCAGGGTTTGATTCCCTTTCCTTTCTTTCCTTCTGACTTACACAAGTCTCAGGTTCTTCCACCTCCTTAGTCTGATGCTTCCACGGGATAACGGGTTCAGTGCCACGAAGGCAAGAAAAATAAATTCAGACCTGATACTGAGAGCAAAAGGGAGACAGCAGAGCTTTTTCAGAGAGAGGATGACATCAGGAGTCCAAATGGAAGGTACTGCCTATACTGCTGTAAGTCTCTGGGCTTCAAGTAGGATCTGGGTCCTCCTGCACTGAGCTCACTCCAGATACCTTGGAAAAAATTGTTCCTGCCTTGAGCAACCTACAATTTAGAGCATCATAGAGCTTCTCACTTTTGTTCGTATGGAAACCTATGAGGATTTCTAAAAGATCCTCAGTGGAAGGAAGGGTGACTCCCTTCCTTGGGTACACAGGAGAATGGGGATGGGGGTTTTCTCTGAGATGACAGCCCAGCTAGAAACTTCAGCTATCTAAAGCTGGAGGTTCTTTCCAATGAGATCTGGGCAAGCACATTCCCAACTTCTCTTCAAGACAGTGGAATGTAAAGACTCTGGTTTAAAGTTTAATGTTAGAGAGTATTTGGCCATCCACTATCATCAAGAAGAAAATAAGAAATAAAAACACCTAAATTCTAGTCCTCTCCAAGTCACAAGACCACCTTCATTTCCATTTTCTACATGGGAGGCTCCTGTTCAGATGCTGAGCTGTTACCACATTTCTGGACATGGACCTTACATGAACGTGCAGCAGGTGTGCAAACCCATCACTCATACTTGATAGCATAAGTAAACAAAGAGGTATATTATAACAGAAAAAAATCTTATCTCCTGGAGAAGAACAAAGAGGACTGTTACAGAATAAACAAGTTTCTGACATTATTCTTCTAAATGTTAATCTTTTCCAAGGCTTTGACTTTTGATAGCGCTATTTCACAAATTCCTAAGAGGCTGCTTTCTTGCCAGGCTAGGAATCTGACTGTGGAACTGGGGAGGAAAAGACGAGAAAGAGCTCCGAACAGAGAAGAAATGCTTTAGTCTGATTGGTGAGCATTCCTATTTCTTGCTGCCATGCATTTTCACTATCCTGCAAAAATGGAAAGACACCTTCCAAAGGCAAATGGAAACGCTGTTGTGATCTGCTCCGCTTGCCTTTCCAAAAATCTTCCAAGATCTTCAGTGAGTCCAACTGAAGTTTATATAAACTCTAAGCTCATTTTTAAAGTGATGGTTTGCCACCTCTAAATTTTTTAAAACTGTTTATCCTCCCCACTCTTTTCCCTGTGGCAGTTTTGTGGGTTTTTTTATAATGGCTTGGCCACCTAGCAGCATTGGAGAAAGGCACAAGGATTCCTCCTAGAGCAAGAAAACCCCTCTTTAATGTGACACAGAAATGCTTACACTTTATTAACCTTTACTGCAAACTAGTCACTGGAAAAGTTATTTTGGTAGAATCCACAGTATTGTTCCACGCTACAAACCATGTAATGTCAGGATGCTAAATTACAGTAAAATACTGCTCACTTCTTTACGAACCTGAGAAGATTAATGATATGGTGCAGATGGGAATATTGGTGCTACTAGGAGCATAACAGGTCATGTTCAGTTCTAAAAGAGTTTATCAGAAATGGACAGCAAAACCTCACAAATGGTTCCCAGAACTGAAGCTCCACTTTTCAACATACCCATTACTGAGACATCATATTCAACCAGCAGAGTTGCCTCCTGTCCGCATTGTTTGAGAATGCTCATAGCTTCTGCATGTGTTGTTCCAAGGAGTCGGATCCCATCAACACTCAGCAACCTGTCTCCGGGTTTGATTGTGCCCTCTCTGAAGGGAGGTTAAAGGAACGATCTTTATTAACGTAAGATAAAGTGACTTGGAGATAATAGCATTTATGCCAAGTGATTCTCTCACTCCCTTTCCACAGCCCATCCCTCTTAACTTAACATTTACTGTGACACTGGGAACGTTTAGAGGGCACAGTGGAAAGGAAATTGCTTTAATTGGAAAGTCAGTGATTGGAAAACAGCTTAACATAGCTAAATAATCAAGTCATGTTAAATCGAACTAGGTATAGCTTCTGCTACAACATATGCTTTGCTTCTGCCCTGTCAGATACCCACACCTCCTCTTTCACATATCCATACACACCTCCTCACAGACAGATATCTTCTTAAAAACAAACATGAGATACAAACAGATGGGTGAAGAAACAGATTGCTAACGATGAATGACTCATTTACTAGTTTTCTTCAAAATATCCCTTATTTGGATGATTCCCTTTTTCTTTTCTTTCTATCTGAAAACAATTTGGCTATAAATGTGCACTGTCTCCTAGGTGTATCTCATAACACATTCAGAGTTAGAATAGAAAACAAAGTACTAACATTGCCAGCCCAAATATCAGGAAGAAAAACAAGGAGGGAAGAAGGGTGAAGGAGAAGGGGAGGGACAAAAGACAAAAGCTATCTAAAACATTTGCTTTTCAATTAATGTTGCCAAAGGCAAAAATGCCATAAGCTACAGAATATCCACCTATTTTAGAGAAATTGTCCGTTAAGTTTCTTTAACAATTTAAGAACACAAATGCCATTTTTGAAAATATAATTCACATATATAAATAAATTGAACATTCTTTATTTATATAGATACAAGAGGCTATTACATGAAAGTACGTTCATTGGGCCCAACCATAAATCTGCACTCAGAAGTTGTTCTGGGAAGTTGTGTGTGAATTCACAAGGAGATACAAATAAATGTCTTAAAATAACAACACAATCCCACTACTCAAACACATCAAGCTATTTTTCTGCAGTGCAAGAGATAAGATTGTGGTGTGAGAGTATAAACAGTGTAAGTAACAGCTACGCTGCCTGCCTGAAGGCCACAAAAATTGTGCTCTGACCTATTGTACAGATGGTCCTGTTTCTAATTATTTTGGGTTAATTTTTTGAAGTGCTTAATAGGCAGCCTTGAAGCATGTAACTTAGTCTGTTAATTAAAATTCATCCCACATCACGATGTGCTGAGCATCTATGGTTGCCCACTACAATTATTATTAGAACAATTAAATGCATAAATCATGAATTTCAAACAAACAGGTTTGAATATATCTACTTCACTCCAAATCTTAACTAGTATCCCAAATAATTCACCTTTCTCCATTTTTCTTTCACTCGCAATACAGAGAAAGATCAATTGTACCTGTCAGCAGGCCCTCCAGGTCTAACACATGTTATTACAACAGGACGAGATTTATTTCTGTCATCATGTGCTCCACCTAGAAAAGGAAAAGTGAAAGAAAGCACACCTTCGTTTTATGCTTTTTATGAAAGCTCATTTCCAAGAGGCAAGTCTAAAGCTTGCAATACGTATACTTATAGATGGGCTAAAAAGACCAAAAAAGCATCAAGCCACTAAAATTAACTTCCACTGATTTATGTCTGAAATAATTTGACCTACTGTGTGGCACAGATGATTCCTAACATAACGTTTCTACAGAGTAATACTTATAAAAGGTGTATTCCTTTCTTAGAACCTCTTCTCTCCAAATCTGATCTCTATGTGAAAACTAACTGTCCTGCACTGTTTGTTGCACAGCAACAAAAAAAGCATCTGTATTTTATCTATACTCAGAATAATGAGTGGCCACTAGAGAATTTATATATTCCATTAAACAGTACAGTTTCCCCTGAAGAACCTGGTACACCTTCCATAATTCATCACCTGGCTATGTTATTTAACAGCTGCATGTTTTTTTCTGTTCTCTAAATCAGTGCTAATACTTCTGTTCTGCAATTCAGACTGCCAACATTATTAAATTATAAATCAAAGTTCAATAGATAATTTATCCAAATGCTACATGTGAGTATCTTTTTTAAAAGCTACAACCCTACTGAATATAAAAGCTTCCTGTTGACTTCACTGGCAGCAGAATCTAATGTTACATGAAGTTAAGTTTGTTATGTTCTTCATATACTGGATTAATTACCTGTGTTCCATAAACAAAAATTAGAGTAATTCATAAAAGCAATACATTAATGTACAGCGGAATACATAAATCATATAATTTTTTATAAACTGTAAGCCATAAATCTTGGAATATAATTCCTTAGTACCATAAAAACTTACCACTTCTTTCGCTGATTTAGAAATACAGACTGTTCACATTTAATGATCACTCACCTCTTATTACAAATCCGAAAGTGTTCCCCTCTTTATGCAAAGTAACTTCCACAGTTCTAAAGATGACACCTGATCCTTGTACAGCTAAAAGATTTAAAAAAATGAATTATACTCTAATTATTGTTATTTTTCTAATTATATGTACAGATTTGCACCATTTCTAAACTAAGCTAGATTTTGTATTTCTGGTCAAAAATTGGAACGACTCCAGTACAGAACAGTCAGCTTAAAGACCTGTAATTAACTACAACTCATGTTCTGTTTGAGAGAATTTTGGGCCAGATATTTGCAGATGTAAATAGCAGATTGCCCATCTTTCCAAAAAAGAATTACAGACTCGTACAACAGCTGAGAGATCAGAGTCTTACTGTTTAAATTTCTGAATAATTTTGTTTTTCATAAGGTTATAGAAAAGTGCTAGAAAGGATGCAAGGTGGAAATATACAATAAAAGAGAAAAAAGATAAATTAAATTCTCAAAGATACCTATGGAGTTGGTTGTTCAGCCATGAAAACATTTATTTGTATTGCTTAAAGTCAAGAAGGTCAAGATTTTTAGTGTGTGTATCTAATCTCAGATTACTAGATTAAGATGAAAACCAGTATTTTGTATCCTAAGGATCTACTAATTTCTCCTTTTTTAAAACACAATACACTTTCTCATCTATGGTAAGTTAGCTTAAAATATCTTTGGCTTCTAGTGGAGTAAATTTTTCTCTGTAAGCACTACAGGAGTGGTGCATAGCTGGGTTAGGAGGTGAGAAGCTTAATGCACAAGCCAATACATTTGAGTGTGATAAACCATTTTTTAGTATCTGAAAACACTGCTGTTAAGAAACTGGCAGTTAGTTTACTGTTAGCTTTTACAGAAAAATCTTGGCAGAGTGTAATAGCTCACTTTTCCAGAGGGGAAAGTACACTGGGCAAAATCACGCACAAACACACACACTTCTAAGCTTCCAGTAAGATACTGGAAACAGCACAAAACATATAAAAACTGTATAAAACATATGTTATGTTAGCAGCAGAACTAATGAAGACTTATGTCCCTTAAAGCTCCTGCCTGCAATAACCAGTTTCCCCAGTCCTGTTATGATACCCTCCTGGGCACAGCTGGGGAGGCGCGTGCTGACTGCCCCATCCCTGGCCCCAAACACAACAAGTGTTTGACACTTGACTGACAGGTCAGTTCAGGCTGTCTCTCCCTCTGCACAGGGTCCAGTTTGGGACTCTCTCTTGTACCCTGGTGTCACTTTCCATGAGATGTGCAGGAATATAACTATTTTGGAGCCTTTTAATCCCCTGTTAACCTTGGCTGACAATGGCCTAAGGTTTCAAAAGTTACTATAGGCAGCCAGGCAAACAACCAGTGAAATCATAAAATCTCCTTTCCTTAGGAAAAAGGGCTAAAGACGACCCTCCAAAGCATTGCTTTGTATTGGACTGGCAATGATTCTGCTACAGCCAAAAGACTAGGACTGTGTTATTTAAGGCTATATGGTTCCTTCTTGGGCAGAAACTCTGTAGGGACAAGAAAGGACCAAACTGCAGGGAGGAGAGCTCAGCCCTTGCCTTCATTGCTATAAACTGAAAGCGGCCAAGCTCAAAATGAACATGTGGCTTGCTAATCCATTTAGGGTGGCTTGAACAGCCTGCCTGGGACAGGAGAAGTTTGTGGTCCAGCACCGTATCTTCCACTTGAGCAAAAAACATTCAGCCAGCTGCACGACCACCACAGCGTCGGCCTGGGAGGTGAAGGAGGTCCTTCACCATGAACAACATGAAGAGGCAGAGGCAGTGGAGACATGGCTCATGTTTTAGTCTGAAATGTTGAAGTGGTTCACGCTGAAACAGAAGCTAGGTGCTCCTTCTGTGAACACTGTTAGATAGAGAAGGCAGTACTAGGGAGAGTGAGATTACTAGCTCTCAGCCAGATTTTTAATCCATCATTATTAAATTAATTGCCATTTCCTCACTCTGAAACTACAGCTGTCCTCTCTCTCAGGGGGCAACTGTGAGAACAACAGTAGAATTTCATTAGGTATGGAGCAGGGCCAGAGGTGCCCGGACACAGAAACATGACATCCTGAAACTGTGTTTACAGTGTCCATTAGAAGTTGATGGAAACATCTGGACTGTTATTAATCTACAACAGTATTAGCTGTGCTTGTACAAAGGGGTCAGAAATTCCAAGGAGTTAAATAAAAGATTATGACTTACAGTACTCTAGCCTGTCAAAAACCTATTTCAGTTGACAAGCGCAGCACATAGGTCAACAGTGGTGAAACTGAAGAAAGCACACGTGATTAAAAGCAAAACAAATAATTCTACAAATAACTACATCTGTATTAAAATAATTCTGAACCCAACTGACTTTATTAACTCACTTATTTTGGTTTGAACATGAAGTTACCTAATCACAAGCAAACAGCAAAGAACATTTAAAGCATTAAGGCAGTTGTCAGAAGGTCATAACAGCAACAAAATATGTAATTAGACTAACTCTCCAGCTGCTGGAAAACAGTGGGGAGTTCATCCTGTTCTCCTGAGCATCATCAAAGTGCTGGGAAATATGAAGAGGTGGATGGATCATTTGGCTCCTATTGTGATGAAAGGCTTTATTTAAGGAGACAAGAAGTTTTTAGCTGGCTCTGCAGGTTTTTCTGCTAAATACCACTGGGCACCACATCTTCTCCTCTCTAGTGAGCAGCATAAGGCGCGTGCACTCTTTGAAAAGGTGGCTGGTGCAGCACAAACAGCAGCCTTTGTGCCAGGGAGCCACCCAGCCATTTACTTTTGGCTCCAGGTTTACAACTCATCATTACTTCTACTTCATACCTGACAGTTAAATTCCCCCTGACTCTCTCTTAGGGGCACACATTGACAGATGCTTGAACGTAAATAGAAAGGGGAGCGGTGAATGGACAAAAGAAAGAGGTGAGGAAAAAATTCAGTAGCACTGTGTGACTTTGGTGTCAGCATAAACTCGTATCTTGAAGACAAGTGAGAGGTCCTTCTTTCAGTTGCACAATTCTTCCAGTTTTACAAAACCCAGAACCCATCTCACTGCATCTTCTGCTCTAGAAATGATATGTGGCTTAAAACTGATGTCAGAAAAGACTGGAAAAATAACAAAGGATGTTATTTATCTGGGAGGGTAGGAGGGTGCCACAAGAAGAGAGAAGGAAAGCAAAGGCAGAGAGAGGTAGAACTCATAGGCTTTGTTAACATCTCAGAAAATCCTCTTATAGTAAGAAGGATTCTGCTGCCTTGGGATTTATCCAATCTAATTTCCAGTATTCCAATTTATGAAAAAATAGTGAAAGTTGGCGAGATTCAGCTTTCAATGGCTGCATTTAGCATCACCCTGCATTGCGAGTTCTTTCTTACCACTTCCACACTCAGCAATAAGCCAGAGGAAAAATATACACAAAAACAACCACTAGCAAAAACAGAGACCACCAACCACCCCCATTTCACTGTTCACAACATGCATTCACTATTCTGCATGGATTTCAGTTTGCTCTGCTATTACTTACAGACTGGAGGGAGCTCATACTCCACTTCTAAAACAACCCTCTCGCCAACGTTCTTGAGTAGGCTGATGATCTCATCATGGCGAAATTTGGTCAGGTTGATTCCATTCACAGACTTGATGTAGTCACCTACATCCAGCTGGTCACTCCTAGGAAAAGGTACATATTCCTTTTCTTTTGTTAAACACAGATCTACTGGACCAAAGTAGTAGAATCCTTTAAATCGCATGTTAGTGATGACAAGAAATAATTCTTCCAATCATCTAAATTCAAACTGATCTTTCAAGAAGTTAATGGCACTTCAAGATCTTAACCTAACCTAATCTATTAAATGTATTAAAAGAAGAACATTGTTGCATTACTAATTTCTGATGTACAAAAACAGCTATAGCGTACACGATTTGGATGATTTAACTGATTTGGGCAAAGGAGCTGGGAAAACATCTTCATGTCCCCACCTTTCTTTCTCTCTCTCTCTCTTTTTGGGATGTTGCCAGAACAGTATTCTAGACTACAGTTGCCTTCACAGCTAACACCACAACAAGATGGCCACAGCCCAAAACCATCTGTTCCGCCCAGTTACTTCGAATTATTTGGTTTAACCTTCATCTCTTGACCTGTTTCTCTCACGAGTAACAGCTTTTCAGTTTCCACTGTTGTAATGAGCAAGGTAGCTATGATTTTAGATGTTTTTTAATCTTAAAACCTGGCAATGGACAGTTTTTTAATAAAATTATGATAGTATTACGGGTAGGTTTTCAATTGTATTTTTCTGCTCAATATTTTTCCTTTTCTCTTAAGTTTTTGCTCAAGGACAAAAAATACAGAAATAAAATTTAAATCTCTTAGAAGAAATTTATTTCGTCTTAATATAATTTTAAAATATCCTATTGGTATTTCTCTTTTTTGTCAAAGTAGCCTCAAGGGAAGAGGTGGACCAGCTGTTGCTGAAATGTTTCTCTGAGCTTTTCTGGTCTGATGGGCTGCCGTTACAGACGCTTCCAGTCACGTATTTGTTAGTGACCTTTCTGACGCAGGATGCATTTCTGAAGCAATCGCATATTATAATGCATTTTGTGGCTGGAGATGTGGTTACCTAGCAGCAATTCCTCCTTGGCGAAGGTTCGACACTCTTGGCTTCCCATCCTTGTCAATTCCACCCGAAACTGTGAGCCCCAGGGTGGTGCCTTCTTTTTTCATTAATTCAACTATTGTTGAGCCCTTGAATTCCTCTGTTGAAAGAAAATTATTAGCGTTATTAACATTTGAGAAAAGCAACATCTGTGATGTCACTTAAATGTCATCTACTTCCCAAGAAAATCACTGTGTATGTTAATACGGAATAATGTGTACATCTGGAGAGTCTTGATGTTACAATTCACAAGTTTTGTCCACCAGGATCTGCATATAGATAAATCTGAGACATATGTTCTCTAAGAGGTTGTTAAAAAATATACCAATGTATACTACACAGAGCCAATAAATACAAAGTTTGGCAAAACTTACAGTAAAGGTAGTTGTTTCACATTTTTAAAAAGCTATCTTTCGTCATTTTCTGCTTTTCCCTCTGAAGCCTATGTTTTACCAAGTCCTTCAACTGATTAACTAAATTGGAGGGTAAAGGATATAGTGATATAATGGTGCAAGAGAATTTTAGATTCAGACTTGCTTGGAGGCCACTAGTAGATGTCAGTTCTAATCAGAACAACTGAACATAACTAGATTCCTAACAGAGATTAAACGTATCAGAATTTAACAATTTTCCCTTACACAAATAGATCTCCACTGTCAAGCTCATTGAAATCTCTGCAAACCAAGTATAAAATAAGTGAAGGGCTTTCATAGTCCTAGTGGTGTATAACATTTCCCTCATATGCTTTCTAGGAAACCCCAGATCTACTGCATATATGATATTTTACTGAGCCTCTCTTGCAATATACCCATTTAGCATTCTCTGAAAATGACAGCCTAATCTCACAGGCCTCAATAAATCCAGAGCCCCTGCAACAGAAAGCCTGGAGCTCTCTAAAAGAGTTAGCCTTATTGCACATGGCTGGAGTTGGCAATGTACATATGCATAGCTCCAGCGTGGCTCCCAAATGTTGGGAAAGCCATAGGACGATCCTGTGTTTCCAGTTAGAAAAAACCTACCAAAACCACCAAGCCACCCAGAAATTCTGAAAAAATACATGCAGTTGTAAAGAGTCACCCAGAAAATGATGACATGCTGGAAGAATCAGCTTTTAGGTGAACCATTCAGACACAAATAAAACAGCACCGCACTGCAGTGAACTAGCAATCCCACAGTGGCACCACGATACCCCAAAAACCAGCAAGTTCCCTACATACATTCATATGTTTGCCAGTAAGCACCAAAGAGTCTAAAATAAGCACTATACAAACAGCAGTGAGGCTCTATTAATCCCTTTCCATGTCACTCAGAAGATGACCTAACACATCTTGACCTCAGGATAAAGAACAGCGGGACTGAATCAGAACTGATGAACCTGAGCAATACAGAGGCAATGGTGCCAGGCAGAGGAAGGCGTTCAGAAGAGCTTTCAGCCCTGGTGAAATACCCCATAATCAGAAGCCTTAGCAGGCTTCTCTACTGCCCTGCCAACTACTGCCCTGCTAACTACTCTAACAGAGTTAACTGCTCAGTCTTTTGGAGATGTACCATTAATGGTCCCTTTCTTCTCTAGGTAGCAGACTCTTCCTTCCACTCTGGCTGATGATGGCCTCATTTCAGTTATTTGCATTTTTACCATTACACAGCACAACTTAAGCACTTGGGCAAGAATTCGCCTATGCTTACACAGCTTCTACTAAGACAAAATTCTGCAGTGTAGTGGGTCACGGGTTTTCCTAAAATTTGAAGTGAGTATTTTGAAAATGGAAGGTGTATTTCTAGTAAGAGAAATTACAAGAGACTATGAGGCTGTTCAGAACGTGCATCTGCCCAACTAAATGCAGACAATAACATAGCTACCTGGTGCCTTCTCCAACTTGGCTAACAGGATACCAGTTATGACTCTACCAGCTAATAGATCTGTTTCAAGCAACATTTGGAAGCTATAGAGCTGCCAGGATAACGCTCGCTTACATCTGGCTGTTATGAGAGTTCAAAAAGAGCAGATGTGATTATCTATGTCTGACAGTGCAGACATGTTGTACAGTCATAGGGGATGCTACAGAACGAAACACTGCTTTCAGTTTTAGAGAATCCTGCAAGTACTCATAGTAATTACAAGAGCTAGGCACGGTACTTACTGGAACCAAAAATACCATACACTTGCACCCAAGATGCACATTACATTCTCAGGTGCTTGGCTGGTGTGTCCCACTTGTATATGCAGAGTTTAATCAATCGTGAGATCTGGAGTTAGGAAGAAAATCTCTCTCCTCCTCACCCTCAAATTGAGGCCTTCCCTTGTACTTCTCGGTAGCACAGTCTGTTTCTGAGGACCACCTGGGAATTTGATTTAACAGATACTTTACGAGCACAGGTAGAGAGGAGATCAGCAAGGCCCTGCGCATCCTAATCTTTTCCCACAGCATAATAATGTTGTGATCTTTTATGTAGGTTAGGAGTTTGCAGTCAGACGTTGGGAAGTACTTCGCCGCCTGAAGTGACACATGAAACAGATGATCCGTGCACCGTTTTAAACTAGCTAATGATTATACAGCTCCCTGCAATTGCTGGCATGGAAGTTAATGACCAGGGTAGCTCCTTCTGGCCCATTATTGTGACAATTTTCTGTATACCTCTGCCAACAGGACACTGACCTCTGAGCACTCCCTCTACGTAGGCAGACGTGAAAAGATGTACCAGTGCTGAAAAGGGGGTGGTGACGTGAAACGTTCATTGCTAACTGACAGATAAGGTCATCTAGGAATATACAACAGTTTCATTAGGCTTACCCCCTGGAAAGATTTTGTAGCTTTTTTTGTATATGACCATAACATGAACAAACAAAACTATCTAAGCTGGTTTTACATATTACAGGCTGTTACCCCCAGAACTCTCTTAAACATGCCCATTTGATAGCCTAGTCTCTCCATCTTTCATCTTTGCTTTCTCAAGTCATATATGATTATTGTTCTTGCATGCTATAGATTACGTGTTTGTTCATCGGTATCGCTTCTACATTATGATTACAGACTAATCCCACTGGAGTGTTATCAGAATATCCAATATCAGAACAATCCTGGGACTTCAGCTCTACAAAGTCCAATCTAACAAGCAATCACATCTGTATGCTCTTTTCCCCAACTAATGCAAGGTCAGTCTCTGTTCTCTAGTTAAGACAAAGCTATGTTACTCTTTGTGAGTAAAAAAATCAATCTACTTCATGTATCACCTCACTCATAATTCATTACTGATGCCAAGCAGCAAATGCTTAATTAATTGGATGTCTCTGGGGCCTGTTCTCTCCTACATGTACTCCCACATTGCTAATAACATTAGCATAGTTGGCATCAGAAAGGAAGGCAAAGAAGTTGCTTCCAGACGGTTACTTCCAGACATCCTATAATTTATGAGTAATATAGGAATGGAATCTACAAGTCTTTTGCTTCATGGCAGACAGAATATAAAATATGAGCTTAAGAAACATTGTCTACCTACTCCACAACAATGTCTTACCTATCAAATATTGGAACACTACACCCGCAATACAGCTCTGTGATATGAACCAAACTGATTACTCTAAACTGAAACTGAGTAGAGAAAAGATGGCTCTGAGTCTATAAAGAGCCCAAATCCATACCATTTTCACTTCAGTTTTAGAAATGCATTTGAGAAGTTTCACACTCCCATGGCACTCAGGGAATCACAGAGCCTCCCCTGTGCCTGGGGAAGGTGTCACATCCTGGCAGGGTGGTGGGATCCTCACTCAAGGCTGCCCCGGGCCACTGCCATCCCAGGTTGTCAAGCAGCTCCCCATCACTTATGGCTTGCTGGTACCCACCTATCTCAAATATGGGACTCAGGAATTCCACTCAGCACTGGAGATCGGCTCACTACAGGGAGAACAAACATGTGTGCATATACATATACATATGCACACACAAAATGGAAAAGGAAGTTTCTGTCCCAAAGAGCTTATTTTAGAAGCTGGTTCTGTAAGGGTCCTGTAAGGTAGAGCATACATAGCTGCTGAACTCTGACAAAAACAATACGCTGTTATTTTTTTCTTAATTCTTGGTCTGAACACTTCTCTTAGGTCTACTGCTGCAAAACCAGAGGTGTTTGTGCCTGATCTTCAGTAATGCCAAACTGATGTAAGAAGATTACGATTTGCCCTGCAACATAGAAGACTGCAGGGATACTCAACAGGGGACAAGAAAACTTCAAAGACAAACAGGTGCTCAATTACAAGAGTGGGTAAATCTCACTGCAAGAAGATGAATAAATGGAACAAATAGCAGGTAAATGAAATCCAAGAAACACTATGTCAAATCAATTTTTCTTCAAGGAGGATAGTATCACGAGGAAGGCAAATATACTGTTCAACTGCTAGAATTTTAAATATAATCAGACATTTTGTAATGTCTTGCTTTTTGATGTATGTAAATAGCATGTTTTAATGAATAAAATACATGGAAAATAAATCGACTCATGAGATTTCTGAACCTGGAATACATTCACTTCTTCAAAAGAGAAAATTAAAAATTAGAATACAGGAGAATATTTCACAGAACAAAAAGCTTGAAAGCTTAAAAGCTGAGTGAGCACCTAATCAAAAATTTTAGCATCTATTTTCTATATTCCTACAATTTTGTATCTTAATTTAAATATCAAAGTATTATTCAAAAACATCTACCTTCATAAAAACATTCTCCTTCCTCCCAGGTATTTTGTGTATTCTTTTTGTTCCTTTCAGCGAAATTTTGGTTTTAGTAAGAAAACACCTAAAATCTGCATGTGGAGTAACCGCGACATACCTGACTAGGTTAAACGCCTGTATCGTCCACCTAGTGAATGATCATTGCTGCCAGGACAGGGCATAAATGAAACTTAATCTAAAAATAAAATACTACTTGCTGTTATTGATCATTTCCCACCGAACGACATACATAATCAATAAGTACGTAATCGTTAAGTCAGTTAAAAATATGGTCAATGCAATCCGTGTATGGTTTTTCCCCATACGTCAGCAGAAATTCTGCAGAGGAAACATTTTGTTTTACATTCCAGTAGGCAGCTTAGAGCTGAATAAGAAATCAC